TATTTCCAAGCTTAATTTTTCCTTTAATTCCCTAACATATTTTATAGAATTTAATAATATATGTTTATCACCATTTCGCTAAATATTGCAATTTCTTTGTTTACTCTCCTCTCCTCAAAGTTGTTCAGCAGATGGAAATTTAGTATCAGTAAAATAAGAATGTTAAAATTTTTGAAAAATATCTTTGTGATTGACTAGTATTTGTGTTATTTTCCACGCCACGTTGGTTGTACTTGACAACGATGAATTTTCAGCAAGGAAAGATGCAAAAACATCGAAAGGAATTTCAAAATATCGCTCCATTATAAACCTTAAAGATGCAAAAACATCGAAAGGAATTTCAAAATATCGCTCCATTATAAACCTTAAAGATGCAATAAATTCTTTCTTGATAAACATCTTATCAGTTAATCAAATTTGGTTTTTTGATCTTAGCTATCCTCGATGCGGTGTATTATTTCTGGTATGTTTTCATAATACTCTAGAACTAACATAACATTCCATAATTCTATTTCATTAATTCCTTCCATGTCTTGTTGAATTTGAAAAAGCTTTTATAAATTTGAATCGCTTCCACTTTATCCTCGTTCAAGCATTCTAAAAAAAATTCCTGTACAAAATGCTGATAATGCTTGTTCATCATCATTATCATTAAAGTCTTCGCAAAGGTATCGAGTAAATGCTTGTATTTGCAGATCAGACGAATAAAATCAAGGTTTTGTCGTCTGAAAGTCGTTTGGTTTCTAGTACCTACCAAAGTCTTGCCATCTGGAAAAATGCGTGTAAGTAAATCACGTAGACTTTGAGGTTTATATATGCATGTATATAATATTAATTTATGTTTGCACTATATTATTAATTAAAATATATCTTAACAAAAATTACCTCAGTATATGTCAAATGCCCAATTTTTCATTTTGTATATATTGTTGGATCTTTCCAAAATTTACGATTAAATTCTAAATTTTTCCCGAATTCTAATCGCATAGGCCAATATCTTGGATTATCAATTTCAATTGTTTGAATGAAACCTGATTCAGGTAACAAACAAGGTGCAACTATCACTTTGCTTTTGCTATCAACTAAAATTTCTTCTCTACC